CCCCCCCCCCCCGTTCCCAAATGTTCTCCCCGGGAAATTCTCTATCGGCAGCCCCTTCATCATTCCACCCCGCCCTTTACCCATTTAGTCGTATCACGTGGCTAATCCTGGAATGCTCGCCTCTCACCCCGGAAGTCGTTTGTCCCATTGTGCATTCAGTAAAAACAAATGAAGGAAAACCTGTGAAAGGTTCTCTCAGAATTGAGCCTCGCCAAGACAAGGTTGCAACAAAACGCTAATCTTTAGATTTAACATGTTTGAACCGCTATCACTGAAATCTACAGGTTAACCATCGAAACCCTGTAGTAAATGACTATGGTAGTTAGATTTAATCTTTTATCTTGCAGTCTATAAACTGCAGTTTTCCAGTCAAAATGTTTCATTCCCCTCCGATGATATCATTTGATTCATGGGGATACAACATAAATATCGTTTTAATAATAATAAAAATATTGAAAGAATATACATGTGTGTTTGTAATTGTTATGGTTACCCAAATAAGAGAGGGAAAATGAACTTGGCGTCTTTGAGGCAGCGGGAAGTGGTTTGGTTAGGTCACTCGAATTCCTATTTCATTCGGCCCCGTTTGTAAACTGTAGCTGAGATGTAAATACCCTCCCCTGCCCCCCCCCCTCCGTGGCCCGATCCGATGTGCTCATGCCATACATTACAATCACGATCTGTTATGGAGCCCGTTTGGCACAATTTATACAATTGAAAGCCATGCATACTCTCTGCTGCTGCTGCTGTTGCTGCTGCTGCTGCTGCTGCTGTTGCTGCTGCTGTTGCTGTTGCTGCTGCTGCTGCTGCTGCTGCTGCTGCTGCTGCATGCTTCGGTCACACCTCACTCGCAACTGATCCCCCACAAACACTCCATTGTCCCGTCAAGGAGCTGTCTGTCATTTAAAACTGCCGGGTCCCGATGTAAACATTGTTCGTCTATCCGCAAGACGTGTCATCCCGGAAAATGAAGAATTCCACCCAAGGAATCAACTTTCATCTAGTGAATAGTTCTTCATTCTGGTCTTGCTTACATAAAGATTTCAGAATATTGTACTTGTATAGCAAGTACAAATGACTGCCTTTCTCTATTGGGCAAACTAAAGGCGCAATGGGTGTAAATAGTAAATAACGAACTTGGACTTTAGACTATTGATTTTTTCCAATGTAGTTTCGCTTATTACTGGATCATCGGAACCTTTTCTTTCAGCCCCATCACTATAACCATAAATAATTTTTTTGTCAGAACCGTTTAAACGCCAGCAACTGAAGAGACCACTTATTGGGGGCAAGAAATTCACACTCTGCGCATTCCCATACTGCACCATTTCAACTACACCTTTTCCCATCGAGCTTTAGCCAAAACCCTGAAACATTTAGTCACCACCTATGGTCCCTTAGCCCCGAAGCGCAAACTTTAATCATACCGCTGTGGGCGAATCAGATCGAAAAGTATCGAAATATACTCTAGGGTACAGGATTGTTGAAACATTTTATTTCTCTACAAATGTTGATGCTGCAAACTTTGATGGAGAAATCAGAAGCTTTGGCGAGCGTATGCTGAACTACCTTTTGATTTGAGCAGGTTTAAATGCTAAGCTCGTATTATTAAAAAATTTGATACATCCCATACAGCGTTAGTGTTTCCGCATAACATGCGATATTGCTGAGTGAAAATTAAAAATGCAATCTAAACGGTACATTGGTTTGCATTCAAAAGCCCTCAAATAAGCCAAAAAGTGATTCTACAAACAAGTTAATGCTTACCGTTGTGTATATACACAACGATTGATACATTAAACTGTCGGAAATAATGATCACTGTTCACAAAAATAGATCGCCATCGTACGATCATCTGTGGGCATGTTTTGCCAACTCTTGCGTGAACCTTCAGAAAATTGTGATATTTGAAGAAACGCAATCACCCTTGCCGGATAAAGTCGATGACAATGCCAGCGTTTTCTCATGTTCCGTGTTCGATGCGCGTTTACAGGTTGGCAAATGGACAGTGACATTGAATGCAATCAGACAGCAAATACCTCACATGAACAAAATGAAAATACCTGATA